TCCCCTCTTTAAAATGATTTTGTGCCTTTGAAGAGAGGATGGGGAAGGCAAAGGAAGGAACGAGTGAACTGTGCTAACTGGACCCTCCAGCCACTCTAGCTCACTAGATTTCAGTCTGTAGAGTATGGTCCTTCGGGGGTCCGTGATCTACTTTTTATAAGACAAAGAAAAGCAAATTCTCCAGTCTTGTCCAGATTTGTGAAATTTTGTGAGGAATCTGCCTTTGAGAGTTTTTAGACTTGGTCAACTGCATAGAGGTGTGAAGCCTCCATTGCTCTAGACGTCAGCTATCACTAAGAGACTGAAGTGGGATGTTATTTAAACCCCACAGCCTTGTTGGGATGAGTTACCGGTCAGAAACTGTTCGTGCATGGGTACTCCCGGGGTTTTCTTAGAAGCAGCTGCCTGCACCTCGCTAGCCCAGGATGGACTGCTCTAGCTGTTGAGGACTGCGAGGTGGAAGGTGCTGAAGAGGAGCTGTGGGAGTGAGCTGAGGCTGAGTGCACCGGCCGTGAGGTGGCAGATGAGAATCTGTGCAGAGAGCGCATTGTCACAAGAGTGATGATGTGCTTTGGAGTGATTACAATAGCTTTATGGAAACATCAGTTCCGTGGTAAAAAAGATCATAAAGGGGAAAATGCTAGGTTTAACTTCTAGAGGGGTAGGGAACAATACAGAGAACAGCTACAGCCTGCTTCCCTTCTCCACGGTGCGCTTTCATCTCCATTCTCAAAAGCAACACTATAAATCCAGAAGAGGTTCAGATTATGATGGTCAGAAATGCAGGGAATAGCTAAATAAGCCAGGAGTCATCAGTCTGGAAAAGGGATGATTATGGGGGATTTTTTAGAGGTCTATATAATGACGTGTGTTCTGGAGAGACTGAATACATAGTTTTCCACCTTCTCCAGTGCAAGAACTACAGGGTATCGAATATGAGTAGTAGGAGGCACATTTTCATGCAGCTTGCAGTTACGCTGTGAAACTCCTTGTTGCAGGATACAGTGGACGGTATGAATGTTTACATGTGCTTAAAGGAGGCTTGGACAATTTAATGGAAAGAAAATCCTTTGAGGATGAACAGAATCTCCCTCTGGCTCAGTATGTCTCCGTGCTGCGGGTGGTTGGAAAGTGGTAACGCTGTTCAGTAAGAGCACGATACGTGCATGTCCTGTGCTTATGCTGTCGCACTTCTTGAAGAGGATCCTAATCTGGGTTGACCCCATATCCCGTATGGCCAGCCTTTTTAAGAGCATGCAGCTAACATCTCATCTCTGCCTTCTGGGTCACAACAGTGGCTTCTGGAAGTACTTGAGTACAAGTGGTACAAAGGTTAAAATGTCCGGAGAATTTGCAGATGTAAGTGTGGGGAAGGCATAGAGGAAGTCTGATTCAGCCCTTATTAAAACAGTGTTAGATTTTGTAAAGGAAGAAGCTGTTGAGTAACTGAAGGTGCAAATAGTGTCGTAGGAGTCAAAGAAAAGGTTGTAATATCATAGACCTATTACTAGGTGGCGATAGTAAATTGTTAATGATGCAGAAAAGTCCCAAGTTTTAAGCAAGTGGTTTTGGATTTGGGAAGAAGTTGGAGGACGTATTTGCAAAATACATGTGATGAGTTACTCCTCACTCTGCTGGTTATCCAAGATAACACCAAACACTTTCGACAGGGATATGCTATTTAAATCAATAGGCCCAGATAACTTTGACTTAGAAGTATTGGAAGTGCTCACTGTTATTTTTAATTCAGATTATTAGGAAATTTCGGAAGAGTGACTGGAGTTGGCCAGTGCTGGAATGACCTGTATGCCATTGCCCTCATGTTTATTCTGGGCAGAATTTTAGAAATACTGATACGTTGTTCGATTAATAAATAACTAAAGGTTAGGCATATAATTAAGACTACTCAGCTTATGTTTATGGTGACTACAGTAAGTTCTCTGAAACAAATCTGGCTTGTTTTTTTAAGATGAGCATGGTGATTTGATAAGGCTGACAGTCTAGATTTAAAACGCTTAGTGTTGTGTCAGGTCCAGATTCAGCACTACACAACATTTGAGTTGAAAAAGTTAACTCTGTGTATCATTAGTAAAGTGCCGGGTGAGTGAGATTTCTTTAACTGGTGATATTAGTGGCTGTCTGTGGAGAATAAGATTCAAATCAAGCTTTTTCCAGGCACTGTAGCAATGTAGTACCACATTTGGCACTGTCCTCAAAGCCTTTATACAGTCACTTCTCATTGGGGTTCATCTCATCAATGCGTTCATCACCACCTTTGGTGGTACAGCAAGTACTGATACTGCGAAGAACAAGTCTTGCAGGAGCAGGAGGAGGTTTTTTTTCAATAGGATCAGTCGTGATCTGTAGGTAATGAAACCTTCTTTTTCTTATACTACAGGACCTGTAGTGTCTGCATTGGCACAAGTATTTTATGAAATTGTCCTCACAGTTGGGCACGTTGTGCACTTCTCACGGTAGCCCTACCTGGTGCATGATATGTAAGCATCTAACTACTTAGATGTAATTGATGCCAGGTTCTTATTAAATGCATTGTAATGCCAGGAATGTTTTTTATGCAGAAGAGTTAGAAGTTTGTATTTGGATTGTGTTATTAAGTAGCTTAGAAGATAAACTGATTAGAGTTATAATGTGAAGGTGCGAAGCAGCTTCATTAGAGACATTCCGAATTGACACACGTGTAACAGGTCTGTGTTTGGGGAGGCTAAAATAATAAATCAGCAATGGCAGTCTTGCACAGGCCAGCAGCAGAGAAAATAAAAGGGATAGTGGAAAGGAGCCACAGTGTTAAAAACTCAATATTTCAATGATATTTTTACTGGGTGGAGTCGCAGAAGTGGAAGTTTGACAACAGGCTCTAGAGCCCCTATCGTTCCCTCCTTTGTTTTTGGCAACCTGATTTGGCATCGTTTTTGAGCTTGCTGAGGGTGCTGTCTGTGCTGTTGTCCCTCTCTTTCATGAAAACATTAAACAGGACTGGTGCTACTGTCAACAGCTTGTTTGGAGCTGGTCCTAGGGAAGACGGAGCTGACTCTTGGGACATCTCAGTCTGTTCCTGTGGGTGTGTGGATTTAAAAAAGGAAATTATTCACCATTTCTAGACTAGGATTTGCTAGGAGTCCTTCACACCTTTCACTCCCAAACTTTGCCCTGAGGTCCAAAATCTTGGACCATGGCATGTTTCAGTCTTGCTCCATGCAACCTTCCTGTTGGCATTCATGTGGTGTGGTGCAAGAAACGGAGGACCTTGGGCACACACTGAATGTTTCATGCTTTTCTGAGAAACCCTGAGCATGTGGGTCCACTGATGATAAGATACCTGACTGCGTGTAGCTGAGCACCATTTTACGGGATTAAATTTCTAGTGCCCTCATGTTGTTGTTGTTTTTGTAGGAAAATCATGGCTTGCAGAAGTGCTCCAGCCCACCTTCACAGGGCTCCTCTCTGTGGTTTGCAGTGTGCTCAGTCTTTTTTTGCCTTGCTGCAGGATGTGCGCTTTCTACTTTTTAACCCCTCTCCTCTCACGGTCTTTGCATTTCCTCTGTAGTCCTTTTGCCAAAAAGCTTGCTCCGCATTTAACAGATTCTGCACTACCCTTAGGTTGTATGAGGTCAGTAGGTGGTTGAAGCACCTTCTTTTGCTTCCACTTCAGTTGGCACGGTCTGCTTAAGGATCCAACTGTATCCGTTTAAGACACAGGTGGTTGTTATTAAACGTTGTGTCCATCACAGGCTTTTTGACAGAAGTACATCTCTCTGTGAGATGTGGTTTTGATTGTGTAATTCATAGGAACGCTCCAAAGAGCTGGAGGAGATCCTGATTCTTCTTGAAGTCTTATTATAAGACAGGGTGTGTCATGCTTTCTTTAAATTCTCTGGTAAGAGGACTGTTCCTCATGACTCCCTACCTGCCGTAGCTGGGAGTCCAGCGAAGGAAGGGATAAGCCATCTTGAGCAGTAGTGGCAACTGAAGTTGGCAGGTATGGGTTAATAGATTCAGGTGCTGTTTGCTGAATCACTTTGTGGCCACAACCATGGGAGCACTGTCCTCTCCTCTGCAAGAGGGAAGTGAGAGTCCTGACAAGAGAAGACCAGTGTGTCGCCTGAAGAGCACTTCAGCTTTTAAAGGATGGATTAATCTCTCTTCTTTGCAATAGTTCGCAGTTATATCTGGCCTTTCGACATGTAAGAAATTCACAAAAGAATTTACAACAGAATTGGGATAGAACAGAACAAAGTCAGGAACTCAGAATGATGGAATTACTGTAAGATGTAGGAAAGAGCAAGTGGGCAGGGTGCAATCCCTGAGCCCAGCTTTAACCCTAGGCACAGTGTTACTGGCAGAAGAAATAAAAGATATTAATGTTAGAATTGACCACTTTGAAAATTGCCCATTGACATTTAAGGGTTGTGTTTTAAGCTGTCCACAGAATTGGAAATGCTGTTGCCCAAGGGGAGCACAAAAATCCTTATAAACTGTTAGAAGGGAAATGTAAATGTGAGAGTGCAGAAGTTGCCTGAAGCCATTCAGTTACGCCTGTGAGCAGCACTTACGGGCAAAGCTGCAATTGGACGAGAATTATTTTATTAAATGGTTCTGCTGGAAGATTGTGTTAGTGGGAAACACAAATGTTTTACAATGAGGAGCTTGTTTCACCGCAGGCAAGTTAAAACAGAAACAGGGTTTTAATGATTTTTTTAACATAAAAAAATCTTTGTTTGGCAAAATGACTTTTGGCAATCTGTTCTTTTTATTATTTCTCACAAGGGACAAATGAGGTTGAAACCCAAATGATGTGTTATGATTGATGATCATCAATTTCTTTTCAGTTACTGGTATGTGAAAATTAATATTGGGATGAATCAGGAGTGGGAGTCAAAATTTCAAATTTCCTGCCAGAAGATTGTGTCCCGAGAGCTGTAATTGCCATGTCGTTCTGCTAAACTGGCTTCTTTGCTGACCTGTTCTTTTGTCTTTTGCAGGATGGGATAAACATTCTTATGGGTACCATGGTGACGATGGGCACTCCTTCTGTTCTTCGGGGACAGGACAGCCCTATGGCCCTACATTCACCACTGGAGATGTGATCGGCTGCTGTGTTAACCTTATCAACAATACCTGCTTTTACACGAAAAATGGCCACAGTTTAGGTAAGTAAAGAAAAGTGTTCTCGGGAGAGGGATGCTCCTGCCCTGCTCTCGCTGCTGCTGTTTAATACTTTGCATGTGTTGTAACTCTTGTCCCACATTTGTGGGTAAGGTTTAAGAAATGGGAGAGAAAACGAGCACTAAGCAGCAGTCAGGAGATGTACATTGGCTCCAAGTCGTAAATACTTCCAGCACGTAAAATGGTTTCTGTGCTGCTCCATTTGTTTAAGTAGTTTAGGATTGCATCCCCAGCTTCTGCTCCTTCCCTCTGCTACTGCACAGCCTGTGGGAAGCTTGGGTAAGATGGCTAATGGCTGGGCAACAGGGAAATAAAGAAGTGGGAAGTTTAGTTAGTGTATTATTCAACTGACTACAAAGCCACTGTATCAGTGTCTTTTCACTTTCTAAAGGGACTTGTCCATCTGTAAGCCTTAACACGTTGGTCCAAGCATTCCCAAAGCTAGACGTTAATTCAGCATAAGAAGTCTTACTTAAGCACTGACCTATAATTTGGTTCATTCCACAGTTGTTTCAGTAGTTCCTCTAAAGTTAAGGACTTCAAAGTTTTGTCCCAAGGAATATCTCTCAGATGTTTTCCAGGCATCCATCATGTCTGATCTGTCTAAAATAGAAAGTTGTGGCCATTTTCACCTAAAATATCTTTCCCTTGGATGACATTCTCCACCCCGGATAAATTCTTGTAATTTTTTTTTTTTTTGTCACATAAGACATGCAGTAAATTTTGATAAGTTCATCTCATTTTTTGTGCTGGAATTCATTTGGTTTGGTAGGGACAGGCACTCCTTTCCTTTGCTTCTCCTTGCTGTGTCAATTCTACTTTGTTGAATTCAAGATGAAGAAGCTGGTAAAAAAATACCCCACTCAAAACATTTATCAGAACAAAAGTTGTTTTGAGTTACTGTCTGGGCTGAAGGAAGGAGTGGGATCGGAGTGCAGTGTGTGTCTGGAGAGTACGTAATTTCTGGTGAGCTCTTGGGAAAATTACTGGGCTCCGCTGTACAAGAGAGAGATGGACATACTGGAGAGAGTCCAGCGAAGGGCCATTAAGATGGTTAGGGGACTGGAGCATCTCTCCTAGGAGGGAAGGCTGAGAGAACTGGTACTGTTCAGCCTGGAGAAGAGAAGGCTCAGGGGGGATCTCATCAATGTGTATAAATACCTGAAGGGAGGCTGCAAAGAGGACTGAGCTAGACTCTTCTCAGTGGTGCCCAGTGCCAGGACCAGAAGCAGTGGGCACAAACTGAAACACAGAGGGTTGGCACAAACTGAAACCCAGGAGGTTCCCCCTGAACATCAGGAAACACTTTTTCATTGTGAGGGTGACTGAGCACTGGCACAGGTTGCCCAGAGAGGTTGTGGAGTCTCCATCCATGGAGGTATTCAGAAGTCACCTGGACACGGTTCTGGGCAACCAGCTCTGGGTGGCCCTGCTTGAGCAGAGGGGTTGGACCAGATGACCTCCAGAGGTGCCTCCAACCTCAGCCAGTCTGTGATTCTTTGAAAATAGCACTCTATGCTACAGGTATAGCAGAGAGATGCGGGCTTTTCCCCCTCAAATCTCAAGAAGGATCCTTCCTCTGAGGCAGATGCAGAAAGGCCTGGTGCTCATGCAGACAGAACTTCTTTTGGAAATTTGTTTTCCATTTTCCTCTGATTTCATACCCACCATTCACTGATTTATAAAGGGATGGTTGCCTAGAAATGAGGCATGTGCCTTCTGAGAAGCATTCTAGATTGAGTCTGTGACCGTGCATTCAGCAGCTAGTCCTGATGCTTTGCAACAGGTCAAGAGGTCTTCAGCCCTGAATGGAAAAAAAATTTCTTTGAGAATCCTTTGAGACTTGTTTTTAACATTCAAATTTTATAAATGGAGCCTTGATCAGAAGCCCAGTGGGGAGCTGCTCAGAGTTGAGTGTCTGATCAGGCTTCTTTTTTGAAATTATAACTATTTATCAGCTAGACCATGTGTGATGCTGGGGGACTCCCAGTGAAGACTTGTGGTTTACTACCTAGTGAGATCAGTCGCTAGTGGAGACACTAGGAGTCATTTGTAGTCCATAAGTATTAGTTAATTGCCCAGATTTCTAATGGCTGGATTATTCTAAATTTAACTCATAATCTGTGGACATTGCCCTTGTCAGTCCTGTACGGGGAAGACAAATAGAGATATGAAAGCAACAGCTGATGGTGTAGAGCAGGAGCTGTTGCTTAGGAATGAGACAAGTTCACCATACACAGCAACTAAGGTGCTGAAATAGTTAAAAAGATTTCACAAAATCTCTCATTTTAGTTGCTGCCCTTGATTTGTAGTGTGTATTTATACAGAAGTAGTGTAGTGGTTTGTGCTGTGCCCCTCCGGCTGTTTTCCTTTGTTTGAGTGGGTGATTTTCCAGCTTCACTGGTCTTTAGCCTGACAGGGCTGTTATTTTCATCACAATGGAAGTGTAACGGTCTGGAAGAGGCCAGGTCTTCTGTTTAATGAATACAAATTTGTTCATTTGGAACTTAATTTCTTTTTAGCGACCAGGAGTCTGCAGAGTAGAAGGGGTGTCGGTTGAAAAGGTGTCCCTTGCTCTGTCCTCCGTTCTGTTCCCAGGGCCGTGTTGTGCCTGGGTGTCTGGGCAGATGAAGCCAAACAAAGAGCACAGTCCAGTAACTTCTCTATTGCATTTCATCATTACCATCCTCTGATTCTTTGCCTCGTGTCCTGCTCAGAGATTTGTTTTGTTTGGGACATTTGGAGGTCTTTGCAGCAATGAAGTTGCCTGATCTTCCTTTCTTGATTTTTAGCGGTCCTTTTCCATCAAAGATGGGGTTTTTTGGGTGGAAAGCTTGTGTTTTCTAATCTTACGTTGAATGATCCCTTGGGGAGCAGCCTACCCCAGCAGTGAACAGTGCCAGTGGGAAGAAACAGGAAAGGAAGGGAATTAAATTACACCATGCTTAGAGAACAACAGTAGATTGTAAGCATTGCTGTCTCCTGGCTGTCCTCATCTTGGGCCCTTCAGATGTATGGTACAAGACGTGAGATGCATGAGAAAATTATAGGTAGGAGACTCTCCTGAGCGTTCACAACTGGCTCATTCGTGTACCAGCTTCTCTTTGAACTGTAGTGCCATAATGGTCGTACTCAGAGAGGAGAGATGATGTGGTTAGAAGAGACAGTGATGGAAGTACTAGGGAGTCGCTGGCCATCAGTCATTGCTGGGCTGACCCCCCCAAAAGCTGCTGGAAGATTTTACTGTCTTTTTACAAAAGCAGAATGAAAACCTCAGCTGGGAAGACTCCTGTTAAGGGCCAGAAGTGTCTATTTGTGCCATTGATAAAGAAACACAACATTCAAGAGAAGTCTTCCTGTTGAATGTTGAGGAGAGCGTGTCTGAGCCCCGTAAGACCACAGATCCACAGTCATCTGGCTGTTAACAGCTTCTCATGAGCACTGGACAGGTAGATGTGAGAGAGGGCATGAGGCAGGTCTCAGCAGAGGAACCAAGACCAGATGGAGGCAGGAGCAATGATTTGTTTGAAAGTCAGAACACTTTCTGCCCTAGTGGAAGCATCTCCATGAAGGTCTCGAACATTTCATGATACTTATGGTAATCTGAGAATCTCATTTCTGCATTGTGTAAACCCGAGATTTACCAGGAAGGAGATGAATGTGCTTTTTCTTGATGTTCCCTGACACAAAGCAGCTGAAGCTGTATATCTCTTCTCTTAGGAAACTAGGTTATTATGTAATTCTGCTGCAGATATAAAAAATAATCATGAGAGTATTCAGCCCCTTTGTGATGCCAGTTAGCTTGACAGCAGGGTTTCAGGGCCCTGCCTCTGGGCATTTGAATTTGTCTTGCTTTTAATGGAATTACAGT